CCCGCTCCAGACGCTGAACCCTTGGCACCTTCAGACAGCGCCCCTGCTCCAGCTCCAGCCGCGGCAGCACCTTCGTCAGGGGAACCTCCGACAACTTCACCCTCCGTGGTCTTGCGCTTTTTCGCCACAACTCGAAGCCGATGAGCCTCATGCTGTTCACGAAGGGCCTTGGCGTGCGACGCGACCTGGGCGAAGAGGTCCCTGGCCAACTTGGTGACCCCCGACGAGAGGTCCTCCTTCCTCTTCTGGAACAGTTCGAGGTCCGCCGCATCCACGTCGTGGTCGGTCGTGAGATCCTCCAGCATATGACTGCAATCGATGATTTTGGCGAAATCCACGTCGCCTGCAACCAAATCCTCGAGCTTGAAAGAGATCGGATGAGCCTTCTCCAGAGGCTGAGGGGGCCCTTGCAGGGCAGCCAGCGTCTCCTTGTAGTCCAAGTCAGCCTGGTCAAGGTGGGCTCGCGACGTACGCAGCGAAGCTTCCGCTTCGATGAGTTGTTCCCGAAGACGCGTGACTCGGCCCAGTTGATGCTCCATCTGCTTCTCCAACTTGCGCACCAAGGCATGAGCCTGCTGCATCTTCGTGTGGTCCGAGACAACAGCGGGCTTCGCGGCCGCCTCCAGATGCTTTGCCATGTCAAGGTACTTGGCGGCCGTCGCAACATCTCCCGCTTTCTGAAGCGACTCGCCCAAGGCCTTAGCCTCAGACGCTGAGATGTCGGGCACTGGTCCCACGGGAAGAGGGGGGGGGCCGCCCGCGGGACCTCCAGCACGCGAATCTCCTTGACGAGCCAGCTCGTCCCACATCGTCTTGTCCCCGCCGTAGTAGCCTTTGCCCTTGCCTTTGCCACAAAGCCCTCGACCACCAGCTTTGCCCCCGCCGTACTGGAAGGACGCCCCCTTGCCACTGACGCCGTACTCAAGCCAGTAACCAGGGGGGCCAGAGGCAGCCCAGCGACCACCAGCAGGAAGCCCAGCACCAGGAAGCAGCCGAGGAAGAGGGTGCGCACAGCGCTTGCAATGCGTGGCATTGACGCTGCTCTTCTTGCAACCACAGGACGGGCATGCGAAGTTCAAGACTTGAGCCTTGCCACGGCGACCTTTAGCAAAAGACCAGCCCTCGTCGCCCTCCTTGACCCAGGGCGCATGAGGGAAAGGGCCTGGCACCATCAGGGAGAGAATCGAAAGAGAATGCTCCAACAGGAGCTCACAGAACGCCAGAAACCTCGTCTGACCAGGCACACGAGGGGCTCAGTGGGGGCCGCAACTCCCCCTTGCCAGTAAGGTCAGGTCCTGAGCCTAAACAGCTCCGGACTTGAGCCAAAATGGCTACGGAGCTGGTTCTCTCTTCCTCCTCCTCCTCCTCCTCCTCCTCCTCCTCCTCCAGCTTGGAGGGATGCCTGAGCCACCCCTTTCTGCTTCAATACCGAGCAACGCCAGGCATGGCCCAGTAGCGCCATGCAATGCCGAGTAACCCCAAGCAACCCCCAACAACGCCAAGAAATGCCGAGCAGTGTCCCGCAATGTCCAGATACGCCAAAACATGGAAATCAATGCCCAGCAATGCCAACCAGCGCAATGAAACGTCAAGCAACGCCAGGCAATGCCAAACAATGCCAAGCAATGACAGCAACGCCAAGCAAGGAAGCTCAGCCGAGAAATACTTAGCACTGCGCAACCATGCCAAACCCTTTCAAGCAAAGCCAAGCAACGCCAAGCAACGCCAAAAGCAACGCCAATCACTGCAAAGCAATGCCCAGGAAGGCCAAGCATCGCCACGCAATGCCAAGTAATACCAACCAACGCCATGCAACACCAAGCAACACCAAACAACGCCAAGCAACGCCAAACAAGGCCGACCAATGCTGAGCACTGGCACGCAACCGCCAAGTAGCCCCAACTAAGCAACGCCAGGCCTTGCCATTGCCAAGCACAGCAAACCGATGCAAGGCCAGGCAATTTCAAGTAATGCCGCTCAGGCAACGTGCACCCAACTGGGGCCGCGCCAGGCTCACTTTCGCAACCGTGGGCCACCGGAGGTCTGCACCTGCTCCCCGGGGGTGGGCTGTCGTCCCTCCCCGCGCTGCTCTCCGACGGCGCAACCCCCCCACACCCCCGCGACCCGAAGGCCGAACACTCGCCATCGCTCGGACGGCCACTCCTGGTGCACTCCTCGGTCTCGAGCACGCCCCCTTGCGCCAGAGGACCCGGGAGGCTTCTCGCCCGCCCTCGCCGGGGAGCGATCAAAGCACAGAGCTGCCAACCGACAGGGAGCTCTGTGGCAAGGGAGGGAGGAACGACGACGAGGGACGACACGACAGCGGCGCGCGGGGGCGGGAGGGGGGGGAAGGGGGAGGAAGGAGGGGGGGGAATGCCGGGAATGCGAGGAATGCGAGACATGCGAGCATGAAAGACAGGCTGAAGTCTTAAAGCGAGCGATTACAAGACCGCGCTCGAGACCCCTCGATCCCCGCGGCTGTCCTGCGTCGACTCGACGACGGGCGGCCGCGAGAGGCGGGCGAGCTCGGTGTCTCGAACATGGCGGGGCGGGCCCCCTGGATGGGGGTAGCGCCCCTCGCGAATTCTCTTGAGATTCTGATCACCCTTGGGGCTGGGGGTGCATCGGCCGACGAGCCATCTGGGGTCGCACGTGGCGGTCTTGCCACAGGCGCTGCAGAAGGTGAGCCCGAATCGCCCCCAAAACTGGAGGCGGTGGGAGAGGTGGAGTCGCGATCCTCCGATCTCCTGGGGTCCTCGCAGCGGGGCAATGCCGTCCCCCAGAGGCCTGGCCAGACAGGAAGAGAGTGCGGCAGCTTTGATCGTAGCTCTCGTTTCGACTCGAGAGTAGCACAAACAAGCAAACTTGGGCCCGATCTTCCGCCACTCGCGGGCGGAGACTCGGAGGACGCGGGCCAACGCAGGGACGAAGGGCACCTCGGGACGCTCAAGACGAGCCGCGTTCCCAGGATCGACGGAAACCGACTGCTCGAGAGCTCTCCGAGCCCGCCTGCGGATGAGCGCCGACTCAGCGTCTCGGCGGTCGGTCTCAGGGACAAAGCCGATCTTGAACAAACTCCAATTCAGACGGGCGGCCCTGCCTGCGAGCACATCAGCACATTCGTTGCCGAAGACGCGAAAAACTTCGTTCTCTTAGGTGACATTCACCTCGTCAACCGAAACGTGAGACGGGGTCCACTCGACAATTATCTCCGCGCCCCTCCCCTCGGCAGCCCTAAAGATTCTGGTCCAAAGGTCTTGATTCCGCACGTAGCCCCCGCACATGCCTTGGGACCAGACCTTCAGGATGGGGAGGCTGTCGATAGTAAATCTTAATGTGCCTACAAGTCTCTCGAGGGCCTCAGCGAACGCTGTGAGCTCAGCACGGGGGACGGTCTGGGTTTTACCTGGAACCGTGATCCCGAAACCCGCGCACGGCTGCCAAGCGAACGCATTGCCCTCGAGAGCCACAGTAGCAGCTCCAACCCTGCGACGCCGAGGGTCGTCAGAGTACTCGCCCCCCGAGCCGTCACCGAACGCGCAGACGAAACCCTCGGCATCGCGGGGTGCGGAGGCGAAGCAGCCGAAGGATATATGCAAGTGCTGCTTTTCTTCATCGAGAACTGGGCAGGTGCCGGCGCGACTCGGAACGCCGCGGAGCCACATGGACGGGCTCGCCTCGCGGTTGATCCGCGCCTCCCCCTCCAGGTACGAGCCGTCGTCGTAGTCCTTGTGGCCGCAGTTCATTGGGCAACTCCAAATACGATGGTGCAACGTTTCTTCCGCGAGGCCGCGCCTGCCGCACGTGGGTGCCACCTCATACCCAGCAGCTCGTAGGCGGGCACGGGGCCACTGCCCGCCAGTGGTGACCGCGATGGTGAGCCCGACCTGGCCGTGCTCGTCGGCCCTGGCGAACATCTCGATCTCGCGAGACACGTGCAGCACGTCAGCTCCATGCCTGAGGTCCTCAGCAGCCTCATGCTGGGACGCCTTGGCCCAGAGCTTCATGTCGATCGAGCAATTGACGTCGTCGGGGATGGCCGAGAAGTCGCTGGTCATCTCGTCGAAAGTGTCGTCGGCGGCGGAGGGGGTGAGCCACGAGTGCCCCGCGTCGGTGTCCCAGTGCGTTGCCGACACAGGGTCCCAGCACAAGTCCATCAGCGTGGCGGTCGCGGCGCTGACGGGCCCCTTTACGACGCGCCACTTCCGCTGCCCAGCTCGCCGAAGTCGAGGCGCGACTTGCTCCCGCGCCTTCTGGATGTGCGGGTGCAGCTCGGGGTGCTGTATCCACATATGGAGCCACGTGGACAACTGCTGCCTGCGCATCGAATGCGCAGGGTCGCCGCCGCCGAGCGTAGTAGCAGGAATAATAGTCAAACAGCGGCCTGGGCCGTTCCCTGCCACTGTCCGCCCAGCTTGGCGGCGGAGGTTGGTGATCTCGTACTCAGGCAGTCCCATCTGCTGGTGGCCGCAGACGGCCTGCGGTAGACTGCCAGTGCGCCATAATCCCTGCGAGACTCGACGAAGCCTCGCGATGCGGCGGACCTTGGCGATGGCCTTGGTCCGCTTGGCTGCCTTCTTCATTCTGCCCCGAGCCTTGAGCCGAACTCGTGCACGTCCAGCGCCCACGTCGCATCCCAGGTCTACTGCAGACGTGACGGCGCGGGCGGGGATGCCTTGTCGCTGGAGACCTCTGGCGATATCCTTGGACATGGCGGTGCTGGAGGCGACGACAACGGTCTTGTCGGATACGACGAGCTGCGCTTCCTTCTGCATCAACTGCCCGACGTAAACTCCAGCCTGGATCAGCGTGTCGGCCACGGCTCTGGCGGCGCCTTCAGCTCGGATGATCGCGTCGTCGATGAAAGTCCCCATCATGATGCTGTGCTGAGAGCGAAGATGGGCAGAGTGAAGGAGAGGCCCCAGCATAGCCTTCGCCACCTTGCCTCCGTGGGGCAATCCAGCCACAAGTGACTTGGTGGGGAGTATTTCTCTGGACGCTCATTGCCTCTCGCGAAGGTACTTCGGCGCCAAGAATATCTGGAGCTCCAGGGCCAAGATAATCGCTGGAAAACCTTGCCGCATGCCGGCCTTGCAGAGCAATGGGATGGAGATGCTGTCGTAGAACTTCTCCAGATCCAGCAGTATGGTCCCGCTGGCAATCGACAGGATGCTACAACGCACGTCCATGCAACACCTGACAAGCGCCGCCTGGAGAGAAGGGGAACCTCGCACTGCCGTGTCCCAAAACTCCGATAATCCTTCACTCCGCTCCTCCGATAGTGGGCATCGTATCTTGGACCATAACTTCAAGAAGAAGGGGGGCTGGCCAAGGATGCGGTCGCCCCCCTTGGCCTTCGGCGCGACCGCGCCTAGCACTGCGAAAAGCTGGGGCGGCCACATGCCTTCATCCTCGACGCGGTTGTAGAGCTGGACCAACTCCTGCCTGGCGGGGACAGGCAATCGCTGGACCTCAATTGGCCCCATGGCGTCGATGCCCTTGGCCTTCTTGGCGTTGACGCGGCCGACCACGGTGTCGAGCTGCTCGAGCGTGATGGGGCCCACGTCCTCCTGCTTGGCCTGGGACATGACGACCTGGATGGATGGAGGTCTGGGTAGCTGCCGTATCGGTCCAAACTTTCTCCCACGAATCAGCACGTCGGTCCATGATCTGGCGCGGGGTGGCGCATGTGTTCCCCTCAGCGTCAACATGCTCGTCGCGAACAGGGGCTGGGGGTTTGACGTGGCGGTGGAGCGCGACAGGAGAATCTCGCCACATCTTGAGCGCCCACTTGCCGAAAGCACGACGCCCGTCTGACAGTGCCTTGCTCACTGCCCTGTTGAGAAACCGTTCTGATATCTCGATAAGCTCGGGTATCTCGTGTTCTCCCTGCTGGTCGAGATTGGCCACCGCGGCTGTCCAATATGTGAATACTCCAGCGGTGTCCTGAGCGAAAGGCTTCTGGAGTTCGTTGTCGAGGGCAACCTGCAACAGCTCATTGATCTTCTTGCTGAGTGCGACCGGTTCGGCGGTGGCTCCGCGTCGGCGGATGGACTGGTAATGAACGAGCAGGGTCTATGCCAAATACCACCACTCCAAGAGCTGATGACGCATATGAACCCGTGCTGGGGTGGCGCTCGAACGATTCCAGGCTATCATGTAGCCGCGCCCTCTACCGCAATGACGCGCCTGAGTGTCCTGCGGGATGCCGCGGTGCTCGACCGTGGCTGTCCCGACCGCAGATATCCACTCATGGTAGGCCTTGGCGATCAGCTGCTGGGAGCTCTCGTTCCTGTCCAGAAGGAAGTGGTCCATCAACTTGAGCTGTGCTGCGGCTGGACGGGCGCCATGTGGTGTCGTAGCCGATGCCGGTGCCGTCCTGGAGCCCGCTGTTACCGTAGTGGCCGCCGCCGAAGGTGCAGCAGCTGCCTGGCATGGTCCATGGAGGAGCGGAGCGCTGTGGGTGGTGGGGTGGGTGGGTGGGTGGGGGGGGCGAACCCCTAGCGCTCCCCTGCATGATGCCAGCAGCTGCAGCGTCGCTAACGTAGTCGTCGGTCTCGTCCATGGGGTCGACGTCGAAGTCGTCGAGCGTAGTTCTGAGGCCTGATTTCGATGTGGAACCCGATAAAGGGTTTGGATTAGGAAGATGTGCAGCACTGCCATGCCCTTGCTGAAGGACTGGGCTGCCATCTGGTTGCACGGTGACGCTGCTGGCCACTTCTAATTGGGCGCCACGGGCACGATGCCAGAGGTCAAGTGGAATACCGAAATTGACCGCGGGAGCGACGACTGCCTCATCATCGTCGTTGATGTAGAGCTCGTCGTAGGCCTCCTGAAGTCTGTGATCGAGCTGGGCACGACGCTGTGACCGAGTGGTGAGAGCCCGCTGCCGCTTGCTGTTCGGGTCGGGTAGCTTCCGAGGGCGAGGCGCGGTCGGGAGCTCGCGCGGTATCTGGGTGACGCGGTTCCACCAGCTGTCCTTGCCGCCGCAAGTCGACAAGGCGAGGCCGACGTGGGTCTTCCACGGCACCTCGGGGACGGCCTCGAGCTTGAGGGAATCATGCAGATCGGACCGCACGTTGCCGTAGTCGATGAGTGCGCCTCTGCCCAGGTAGCAGGTCGCCTCGACGTTGGACGGCAGCAGCAACGAGCCTCCTAGCTTCTTTAGCCATTGGTTATTATTCCATTCGTCGGGCAGGTTGTTCCAATCGCCAAGCGCTATCCATGGGTCAGCAATGAGTCGAAGAAACGCCGCCAACCGTATGGGCATCCGTTCATTCGGGCCACGGAAACCGAACTTGGGCTGCAAGTAGGCGGCGACCACCACGAGGTTGCCGACCTTGATATGCCACGTCATCGGGCAGAACCCCTCGAAAGGGGTACTTGGACGACTTGGACAGCTGCGCCTGCCTCCAGCCCTCGAACGACGTGGTGGCGAGCGTCTTCTTGCACAGCATCGCCTCGCCTCCAGCGGTGCCCGACTGAGAGCGGCCAGTGGGAACTGAAGGTGTGGCGGCTGTCTTCTCACCGTCCTTGGGCATGTTGACGATCATCCTCTCGAGGCGCTCACCGCGAAGATGAGTCTCAGCAAAGCCAATCATATCATACTGCTCAGCTCGGGCCCTCATGAAACTCTCCGAGCGCGGGCCCCACTCAGAGATGCTGGCGAAGAAGAAGCGGGCGTCCTGGCTAGGAGCCCACCCCGCGTCCGCCTCTGCCGCCAGCGCCCTTGCCTGCTGCGGCGGCCCTGCCACTGCTGCCGCGCCCAAGACCGCTAGCAGGAGCCACCGCATCATAGCAGCAGAGGCGCGCTGCTCAGCACGCTCCTTGGCCGCGGCGAGCGCCTCGACCAGCTGGGACTTGGCTGCCTCACGGGCCCTGGCGGCTTCGGCGGGGTCGGCCGTGGGGGCTGCAGCGCTGCCAGCCGAAGGTGCAGCCGCGGGGCCTCCAGCCGCTGGAGGCGCGTCGCGGGCTGCCTGCTCCGCGCCTGGACCCTGACGGCCGACGCCGTCGGCGCCGCGCAGCCTCTTGGCTGGGGCAGCGCGGATCTCCTGGACCGTCTTGAGGGTGTTGGCCAGGGTCTCCTGCAGCGCCTGGACCTGGGCGACGTGCTCGTCCATCTCATTCTTGAGGCTGCAGAGGGTCTCCTGCTGGCTCTCGCCGAACTCCTCGAGGTTGTCGGTGGAGTCGGCCGCGATGGCCTCCTCGGTGGCCATCAGCACGTTGTCCTTGGCTCTCTCGAGGGCCGCCTCAGCTGCGACCTGAGCGCCTGCTGCCCGACGAAGGGCGGCCTCTTTCGTCTGAAGATTCTGCGCTGTGAAGTTGGCCTCTTGCTGCGGGGTCCGCTGCTTGACCAGGGACGCAGCATACGTGGTCTCCAGGTCCAAGAGCGCCTGGTGGGCGCCCGCGAGGGCGGGGATGGAGGCCAACTTCTGGAGCATGACGGCGGGATCGTCGGGCGGCGGCGTGTCCTTGGCCCAAGGCGGCTTCTTGGGAGGGACAGATGGGCCGCTGCGCTTGAAGAGTTCGACCACGTTGTTGCACTTCGCACACTTGCCGCCGTTGGCGATGATACGGAAGTTGAACGCCCAATTGCCGCACTGCTTGCACCACGAGAAAGGCTGCGGACGCCCCATGACGCGGAAGTGTGCAGTGAGAGCGCGTGCTGAAGAGAACCCTCTAGCACGGAAAGCGTTCCTGGTCTGGCTCGGGAAACAGAGCTATCCCACGTCGGCACGGAGGCGCGGAAGCCCCCCACTGCAAACATCTTGAACCAAAATGGCTACGGAGCGAGGAGGAGGAGGAGGAGGAGGAGGAGGAGGAGGAGGCGGAGGGAGGAGGAGGAGGAGGAGAGGAGAGGAGGAGGAGGAGGACGAGGAGGAGGAGGAGGAGGAAGGGACGACACGACAGCGGCGCGCGCGCGCTCCAGGCGCAGTCCCGCTCAGCCCGCGGCGGCCCCCGCAGGGCCGCCGCAGGGCGCACGCTCCAGCGAGGCCACGCCCGACGGACGGAGGGCGACTGCCTCGATGGGCCCGTTTTCCACCGCCACCACGATAAGTTGGAGGGGGAGGGGGTTCCTCCTCCTCCTCCTCCTCCTCCTCCTCCTCCTCTCCTCCTTCCCCCTCCTCCGCCTCCTCCTTCCCCCTCCTTCCCCCCTCCTCCTCCTCCTCCTCCTCCGCCTCCTCCTCCTCCTCCTCCTCCTCCTCCTCCTCCTCCTCCTCCTCCTTCTTCCCCCCCTCCAATTCATGGTGGTGGTGGAAAACGGGCCCATCATGCCCCCAGCACGCAGCGCCCGCCCGCGCCGCGCAGGCGCGCGAGGGGGGGGCGCCGCGCCTCTCTTTGCAGAGGGGGGGCGCCTCGCGCAGAACGCGGCGCCCGCGGAGGCGGACCTGCGCCAGCAGCGCACCTCCCCCGCGAGAGCGTGCGGCCCTCCGCCGGCCGCGCGGGAGGAACGCTCGAGGGTGCCCTCCCCCATGACGCACACGAGCATCCAACAGGCAACAAGCACATCAGAGCGCCCTCGCGGAAGAACACTCGAGGGTGCCCTCCACCAGGATGCACGAGAACACCCAGCAGGCACCAAGCACATCAGGGCGCCCTCGCGGAAGAACACCCGAGGGTGCCCCCCCCCCAGGATGCACGAGAGCATCCAACAGGCACCAAGCACAGCAGGGCGCCCTCGCCGAACCGAGCTCGCTCTTAGCCGAACCGAGCTCGCTCTTATGTTTCGGTCCCAGCGGCAGCGAGCGGGGGGGCCAGGGAGGGGAAGGGGCATCGCAACATCGTTGGTACATGCTGGGTTTACCGTCTACCCCTGTCCTCTCTTCCATCTCCTCCTCCTCCTTTTCCTCCTCGCCCTCCCCATCCTCCCTCCCCTGAGCTTCCTCCCCTCGTCCTCCTCCTCCGCCTCCCCCTCCCCCTCCTCCTCCTCCTCCTCCTCCTCCTCCTCCTCCTCATCCTCCACAATGGCACAATAGGAATACTGCTCTCCTCTCTCCCCTGGTGACGTCCGGGAAATGTTCGCCTCCCCTCCACGTACTTGTTTTTACTTGCAAAATTTCCAAGAAACGTACTCCTCATCCTCATCCTCATCCTCATCCTCATCCTCATCCTCCTCCTCCTCCTCCTCCTCCTCCTCCTCATCGTCGTCGTCGTCGTCGTCCTCGTCCTCGTCCTCGTCCTCATCCTCATCCTCATCCTCATCCTCATCCTCATCCTCATCCTCATCCTCATCCTCATCCTCATCCTCATCCTCCTGCTCCTCCTCCTCCTCATCCTCATCATCATCCTCATCATCATCATCATCATCATCATCAGCATCATCATCATCATCATCATCATCATCATCATCATCATCATCATCATCATCATCATCATAATCATCATCGTCAGCATTGTTCCCCCCCCCCCCTCCGAAAAAAAAACACGAGAACCACGCTCACAAGACCCAGGAATCTAGCCTTCCTGGCTCTGCCGAAGGTACTTCAAGGTGCTCCCCCCCGCCTCGCCTCCCTCCTCCTCCTCCCGCCCCAGCGCGGCGGGCGGGCCGCATGCCACGTCTCCTGGTCGCTCCCGTCGCTGCGCGCGCTCACGCGCCTGGGCCTCGGGCGCGCGCGCGCAACGAGAATGCCGACGAGCGGGCAGGGCTGCCACGACTGGTCCACCTCCTCCCTGCTCCTCCGTCCCCCTGCATCCTCCACCATCCTTCCCCTCTTCCTCCATCCTCCCGCTCCTCCTCCATCCTTGTCACACACCCCTCCGCCTCCATGTTCGCACCCTCCGTGTTCCCCCTCGGTCGGTCGGTCGACGAGGCCAGTGTCCAGAAGACCACATCGCGCGCAAGGACGAGGCGTGCGCCCAGAGCCCCGCGGAGGAGGAGGCGTGCGCCCAGAGCCCAGCGAATGGGCAGCAGGCGGCGCGGCGACCTCTGCATGGCTGGCAGCACCTGGGGACGCGCAGGCGTGCTGGCGATGCCCAACCCCTCGAGTGGGACGCCTATCGGCGGCGAGCCCCAGGGGAGGAGCGAGAGGAGGCGGGGCCTCTCACTTGCCCCCTGGGCTCGCTGCCGACCAGCCCTTCGAGTGGGACGCCTGGGTCTTGGACGAGGATGGTGTCACGATGCGACTGGCTCAGCATGCGCTCCAGGACTTCCGGGGCTCCCAGCGGCCTTCGTTCTGGGAGCCCGCGAAAGGGAACATGACATCTGGGACGTCAGGGGGACCCTGGAACGCATCATTGCGTCGCACCCCGCAGTTGCAGAGAAGAGTGAGGGGGAGGGCGCGGGGTTGGTCGCGGGAAGATCGTGGGTGAGCACGCTGAGTCGTGGGTGGGTCGCGCGAGGGGGTCGCATATCCGTCGCAGGTGAGTCGCGGATGGGACGACGACAACAACAACAGCAACAACAACAACAATCATTTAAGACTGGGGACACTCCGTTCTCACCAGTGCCAGGGTTTTCATAGGAGGCGGGCAATACCCCCACTTTGTGGGGGGGCCGGTTCAAGCTCTACCAAATTTCCAAACGACTCTTCGCCACCACCCACACCCAGCTTCCCGCCCTATGACGTTCGGACACTTCACTTCGTGGCATGCGGACGACCGTGGCTACTATTCAGGGCCCCGCGGCCGACGACGACGGCGTGCGCGCGCGAAGAAAAAACGAATGTGTCCCGCATGGTATTATTTGACAGGGATGATGGCCCTGGCAGGTGCGCAACCGTTGTTGCAGAAGTTCGAAAAAGTTGCTCGCAAAAGCCCGTTTGACAGAAATGTTTAAAAAGTGTTGGGTTTCCTACGAATCCGCAAGAGCGCGCGGGATGAGATTTTGACATTTTTTTGTTGAAAAACCATTGGTTTTTTGATGTTTTTATGTTAAAATCGCTGCGAACACTAAGGTTTTGGAAGGATTTCGTCTTGCGCGCGCGAATGTCCACTTTACCTTATTTTTTGCAAGGGATTCTTGAAATTTGATTATATTAGAACAAGAAATGTCATTTTATAGTGTTTTTTTTGCAAGGGAAAACGGATTACAACAAAACAACCGGATCTGGATCACATCGTTTTACCTGAGGCTTCCTCACGAAAATGATGAAAATGTAGCTGCGGCCGAGGCGCGGCGGGGGGGGCGTGCACCAGGGGTCCCAACAATAATTATTCTTTAGAAGTAATAATGTTCAACAGCAGCAGCAACAGCAGCAACAACAACAGCAGCAGCAGCATCAGCAGCAAACACAACGACGACAACAACAACAACAACAACAACAGCAACAACACCAACAACACCAGCAACGACACCAGCACCAACACCAGCACCAACAACAGCAACAACAACAGCAACAACAACAACTACGACAACAAAAACAACAACCACAACAACAGCAACCACACCAACAACAACAACGACAACAGCAGCAGCAGCACCAACAACAACAACGACAACAACAACACCACCAACAACAACAACACCAACAACAACAGCAGCAACAGCAACAACGACAACACCAACAACAACAGCAACAACCACAACAACACCAACAACAGCAGCAACAACAACAGCAGCAACAGCAACAACAACAACGACAACACCAACAACAACACCAACACCAACAACAATTTCATCACCAACATCATCAACAACAGCAACACCAACAGCATCAGCAACAACAACACCAACACCAAATGCACCACCGCCAACAACAACGACAACAGCACCAACAACGCCAAATGCACCAACAACAACGACAAAGTACAGCCATAATCATAGCCACGGAATCCCACTTCACCCACGCACCCAGGACGGTATAAGGCCGCTCGGCCCCTCTCTCACCTCAGGCATGCTTCCTCGCATCACGTTCTTCGCGGAGGCCTCGAGCAGCGATCGCATCCTGGCTATCATCTGGCAGAGCCGATTGTGGAGCCGCCGCCACGGACCCACCTTTGCGCAAACAGCAATTCACGCATTCCGAGCCGCGGAATCCCACTCCACCCGCGCGCACCCAGGGATGGCGCAAGGCCGCTCGGCCCCCTCGCTCTGATCGTGGCGCCTTGCCCCTCCCAGCGTCGGCGCAAACATCAGAGAAGCATCAGCCAGACTGCGGGCCACGGAACCCCACCTCCACACGCGCACCCGGGGATGGCGCAAGACCGTTAGGCCCTCTCACTCCGACGGGGCTCCAACACCTCCGAGAGCTTATGCTTATGCCATCATCTCGTCTCCCGAGGTCATGACTTCGTACTCTGAGCGAGCACGGGCACTCTGCGACCTGCCCGCCCCCTCGCCTTCGTCCTCGTCGTCGGCCTCTCCTCCTCCTCCTCCTCCTCCTCATTCCCCTCCTCCTCGTACGCCTCAACTTCCCTCAATGGAAATGATTCCTTGTAGGGGCCTGCGAAGAGGGAGCTCGGGGGGAGGGTTCATTCGAACATCGCTGATGAGCAATGGGGTTGCACTGATCTTACTCCTCCTCCTCCGCCATTATTTTTCCTCATAGCTAACTCCTTCCTGTCTTAACCCGAGGCTGGTTGAAAGGGCGGGCTGGGCGTTTCGCCTGATCCTGAAGCTTAGAAATTGGCAACAACTTCGCGTCGGTTTTCAACATGGGGCTCTGCTCTTAGCGCCGCGCACATTCGTTTCGAAAAA